TGTAGCGATAAAAGTGGTTATTTTGTAACAAAAGTTTGAGACATTTCCCACCCTGTTTGTAGGGAAAAAAAACAAGTATTTTTTAACGAGAGGTCAGGACATTTCCAGCCATGTCTGTAGCAACAAAAGCAGGTATTTTTAATGACAGTTCAGGGCATTTCCAACTATGTTTAAAGTGAACAAAGCTCATATTTTATAAGGAGAGTTTGGGACATTTCCAGCCGTGTTTGTAGCGCCAAAAGTGGTTATTTTTAACAAGAGGTCAGGACATTTCCAGCCATGTTTGTAGCAACAAAAGCAGATATCTTTTAACGAGAGGTTGGGACATTTCTAGACATGTTTAAGCAACAAAAGCAGGTGTTTTTTATTGACAGTTTGGGACATTGCTAGCCAAGTTTGTAGCGACAAAAGGGAGCAGTTTAACCAGAGGTTGGGACATTTCCAGCCATGTTTGTAGCAACAAAAGCAGGTATTTTTAATGACAGTTCAGGGCATTTCCAACTATGTTTAAAGCGAACAAAGCTAATTTTTTATAAGGAGAGTTTGGGACATTTCCGGCCGTGTTTGTAGCGTCACAAGTGGTTATTTTTTAACGAGAGGTTGGGACATTTCCAGCCATATTTGTAGTGATAAAAGCGTTTTTTTTATATTTTTATTTTTAACAAGAGTTTGAGAAATTTCTCAGCGTGTTTGTCAAAACAAAAGTGAGAATTTTTTCTCAAGTTCAGGACATTTTACAGCCGTGCTTGTAGCGCCAAAAGTGGTTATTTTTTAACAAGAGGTCAGGACATTGCCAGTCATGTTTGTAGCAACAAAAGCAGATATCTTTTAACGAGAGGTTGGGACATTTCTAGACATGTTTAAAGCAACAAAAGCAGGTGTTTTTTATTGACATTTTGGGACATTGCTAGCCAAGTTTGTAGCGACAAAAGGGAGCAGTTTAACCAGAGGTTGGGACATTTCCAGCCATGTTTGTAGCAACAAAAGCAGGTATTTTTAATGACAGTTCAGGGCATTTCCAACTATGTTTAAAGTGAACAAAGCTCATATTTTATAAGGAGAGTTTGGGACATTGCCAGTCATGTTTGTAGCAACAAAAGCAGATATCTTTTAACGAGAGGTTGGGACATTTCCAGGGCATTTACAACTATGTTTAAAGTGAACAAAGCTAATTTTTTTATAAGGAGAGTTTGGGACATTTCCGACCGTGTTTGTAGCGTCAAAAGTCCACAATTTCCAGTTGTGTTTGTAGAGACGAAAGCAAGACTTTTTTAATGATATTTTGGGACATTTCCAGTCATTTGAACCGATAGAAGCAGATATTTTTTAACAAGATTTCAGGACATTTTCCAGATGTGTTTGCAGCATCAAGAAGGGATATTTTTAATAAGAGTTTGGGACATTTCCAGCCATATTTATAGCGATAAAAGTGGTTATTTTTTTAACGAGAGGTTGGGACATTGTCAGCCATTTTGTAGCAGCAAAAGCTTTTCTTTTTCTTTTTTTCCCCCTTTTTTTATTTTTAACAAGAGTTTGAGAAATTTCTCAGCGTGTTTGTCAAAGTAAAAGCGAGAATTTTTTCTCAAGTTCAGGACATTTTTCAGCCGTGCTTGTAGCACCAAAAGTGGTTATTTTTTAACAAGAGGTCAGGACATTTCCAGCCATGTTTGTAGCAACAAAAGCAGATATCTTTAAAGAGAGATTGGGACATTTCCAGACAGAAGCGGATATTTTTTGAACAAGATTTCAGGACATTTTCCAGACGTGTTTGTAGCAATAAAAGCAGGTTTTTTTAATGACAGTTTCGGACATAGCCAGTTGTGTTTGTGGCAACGAAAATGGATATTTTGTGCAGGGGTTTTGACATTTCCAGCCAAGTTTGTAGAGATAAAAGTGGATATTTTTAACGAGAGGTTGGGACATTGTGAGCCATATTTGTAGCAACAAAAATAACTATCTTTTAATGGGGGTGGTTTTTGTGATGATATAATCAAAGTTTTCTGTGTTTTATTTGTCTGTGAATTGGTTCCAGTGGTTCTGCCTCTTTCTGCAATAACAAATCCCAGGCCTTGAATGCAACATGTGACTCTTACTCACGTCTCTAAAACCACAACAAGAAACAAGCGGCGCAGGTGGAAAAGTCAACATTAAACCTGACACATTTGATGTGTGCAAGAGGCTTCACACTGTCTTCTTTGATGTATCACTCTGTCTTTTTCTCAAGCTCTGAAGAATGGTGAGCTAAACACCATATGACAGCTACCTATTACAGTTCCCTGCAGTGTCGCTGCTGGAAACCTCTTCCACGCGTTTTTTTGTTGTTGCCGAATCCGGGGTTGAACTAAAAGCCCTCCTTGCATCAGTTTCTCCTTTTTAAAGTCTACAGGTAACTTTCATCATCCTCGCCTGGAGTCAGAGTGAAAAGATGAGTCCGGCGAAATGATGTAACACTGTAACTTCTTGACAGGTGGGGCAGAGATGTCATCACATTACAGAGTTGGACGTCTTTTAAAAGCATCATCTGAAAGGCTGTAAAATCAAAACCTCAAATTACATTTTTCATGTCAAGCCCAAGTGTTTTCTTTATGTGTGTGTGTGTGTGTGTGCGCAGAAAAAGCTTTATACTCCGATGGCTCTTTTGGTGGATAATAACTGCTCTGTCTAGACAGGATAAGCTGCATAAGTGTCTGTCTCCTTTCACCGTCCAGTTCTAAGAAGAGCTGGACTACAAAATTCAAAAATCAATTCATCTGGTAGTCGTGTACTTGGAACGACTGCTAACAAGTCTGCCTGAATCATCATGTTTTATGTCTTCTGTCACATAAAAACATGAAATATGTTCTCTTTCATAAATCAAGTTGACCTTTATTTCATTGTATTTTTCTAGACACTGGTTTTATAATCGGACATCAGTTTTTAAATATGATGTACAAGCTGTTCTCACTGTGGAGTTTGGGAGAGGTAATACAGGATTGGAATAATCTGTCAACCAAAACAGAATGTACTGTACAAACTGGAAAGAAGAGGAAACACAAGTCAATGCTTTACAGTTTTTCTTTTTCTCCTCCAAAACACTAGTCAGCGGTGGAGGACTGTGTTCAGTCCTGTAAAGTTTAGTTCAAATCAAGCTTTATTTATATAGTTGATTCAAAACACACATTAAACACACATTAAACATGGCTTAATAGAGACTATTTCAAACACAAGTACACAAATCAGCTTCACTATAACTCGCAGCATTCACAGACAAACACTTGTCTTTATCTGGACACATTTCCCCCACAAATACAACATGCTAACGTTATTAGCACAAGCCTATGGCATTTTACATTGTATAAATTAGCCTAGCAGCTAACGGACTTTTCCTCTTCTCATATAAAACCAGGGACAACAGCAACATCTAACAAAGATAACTGCACATAATTTTGCTCCATTACAGCTCACAAGGTTCACTGACAAAACAACTGTCTTATACTAAACACGTTTTCCAAACAAATACAACATGCTAACATTATTAGCACAAGCCTATGGCATTTTACACTGTATAAATTAGCCTAGCAGCTAGCGGACTTTTTCTTTAGTCAAGTGAAGCCTAATCTCTCAAGACAGATTCTGCAATTTACATTGTAGAATCTGTCAGCAGCCCTGTGTGAAAGACGACTAGAGAGGGGGGAGAGGGCGGGGCTTTGAGTTTGAACGATGCTGCACTTTAGCCAATCACAAGGGAGGGGGCTTGGCCGAGACGTGCAGGTGTCCCCAGGAAATGTGTACCTACAGAAACAGCAAGCTCCGCGTTCATAGCGACTGCTCCACCCAAAACGCCGTCTCGTCAACGTGAATTTTTTTTTTTTTTTCCCAGCGGATGTCACAACATGATTGAGCTAACTGGAGTAGTTTCATGTCGTATCCAACAACGGGAGGCTTTTAACAGATGACGTCTTGATGTTAGCTTTGCTAACTGTCCCTGTCAGCTGCAGCCACTGATGCTTTCTAGACATCGTGATTTCCCATAACTGAATAAATACCACACATAGCAACACAAAACTGCTTTGCTAGCTCAATCATGTTGTAACTAAGATATCCGCTGGAAAAAATATTTTATTCACGGACCGTTTATTGAGTTATTACCTTATTTGTATACAGTCTATGGTTATTACAGACACCGCTAATGGCTAACGTTAACAGCTAACGGTTAGCCCAGCTAATCTACGATGTTATTATTGTTATTATTTACAAAACGTGCACACAGAAATAGTAATGTTTGTTCAATCATTGTGTTTATTGACTTAACAAACATCAGATTAGTCTACACGGTGATATAGTGACGTGAAAAATGTGATATATAGCTAAACTCTGCTGGTTTTCTACCCGAAGTATTTGTAAACAACACGGCGATTCCCTGGGGGCACTGCCGGAAGTGAAGGGTGTGAGCAATCGCTGAGGCCCCTGCACTTCCGTTAGTCGAAAAACTCCGGGCTGTGCCTCCAGAGGTAAAGGAAGAAAATTTTTTTTTTTTTTTTTTTTTTTACCGATGGATTTCCAGATTGTATGAACCCAGGATAAATCCGAAGTATAGCACTTATTAAAGTAACACGGCGATTATTTGACCAATGAGAATTTGGTTGGAGCATAGCGACCAAATAATCGACAAGTCGACCAGGTCTCCTCAACGAAAATGAAGCATAGCTTTCATCTTAGTTTTTATTATCAGGATCTATCTTTTGCTCGTCATTGTCTTGTTTTCGTCATGGAAAAAAGGTTGTTGATGAACGATTTTCATCAACGAAATCAACACTGCTTTTGTATTTGTGAGGTTGCTAATCTAGCTATCTCTCAGATTTTAGGGAAGTGTGCAAACGTCGCCCCCTTCAGTAGAGGAGTGTGAAAACACCTCTGTCGCGACAAACTTTGCACAGTTCGTATAGTCCGTATCGTCAAGGTCAGACATTTTAGGGGTTGGATGCAACAATGCTAACTCCTTTTTGCGTTTGTATCTGCAGGAGTTCGTGGACGTCAGCCCGCCGCAGAGGAACTGGAAGGGCATTGCCATCTCCCTGCTGGTGATCGTGGTGGTCTGCTCGCTCATCACCATGTCGGTGGTCGTCCTCACACCTGGTATGCATGTATAGGTGCTAACGTGCTGCTTTTCAGTCTTCAGTTTGTTGTCGCTAGCGATGAAGGTGTAAAAACAGGCTGGATTTGACTTTAAGGTGACTGTGTTTTCTCCCAGCGGAGCTCCCCAGCAGCAGCAAGTCCGGGCTGACTGTGGCTGATCTGTACAAAGCGGAGTTCAGCGTCCATGACCCCGAGGCCACATGGATCAGTGGTGAGTAGCGCAAGGAAAACATTACAGCACATTTTATTTATATACAAATAATTCTGGCTTGGAAGGCAGGCAAAAAAAATTGCAGGCGTTCTCATAAATACTGACTGTATCTGACATGTGGTGACTCTGCTGAAAGCTTGAACTACAATTCCCAGAATCCATCTGAACAGGCTCCAGAAAACGGCTGTGAACTTGTATAGCTTTCAGCTGTATGTGAACGTGTAGTTTTTCTGGTCAAGAAAAAAGTAGCTGCTGTGCATTCTGGGTGATTTCAGGCCGAGTGAACTGAGCAGCAGTGCGTTTTGTTGCTTGTAAATTCAGCTTCTTATTCACAAGTCAGCGGGTGTTGCTTTAAATGATGAAACTGATGAGAAATGTGTCAGGAAATCAGTTTAAAATCTTCTTCTGTCAATGTTTCCTGTCTAAAAAGGGGCTTCTGATTGCGAGGCAAACTCATGCAGAGACTCGCCTGCTGTGTCACAAGTCTGCCAAGAGGGAGAGACACGGAGGTGATGTATCTCAGGTAGAGAATCAGGAGGTGAGGACAGCGTGACATTGCGAGGAAGCGGTGACGGTGATGTAACAGAGGGGAACAAAACAGTGTGACTTTGAGAAGAAAGTAGGCAGGTGACGTTTGTGAGCACAGTTTGGTATTTTTATCCCCTGAAAATGAAATATGTGCGCTCTTTTGTCGGCTGTTCTTCAGCTTGGATGGAACAGCTGGTCGTGTCTGGCAGCTACAGAAATTCAAAACACTCTCAGGTTGGACAGCCGGTTTGAAATCAGCGGGGTTTTAACACCTTTACGCTCGTTTCTCACTGAGAACAACTGCTTCAGTGTTGGAGGAGGCAGAGTTTGAACTCACCGAAATAAAGATCTTCAGACTGGCATGAAACATCAACTGGATTCACCTTGATATGTAAGGAAGGAAAAACATGTTCTCTTCTGGTGAAATGTTCAGAGCACTGTGGGAAGTGCATTAATAGAAAATGAGAATTCCTCCACCCGTGGTTTCATTACAGGTGGGCAGTGTTAAATCCATATAAATTAAAACCATTAATTCACCAAGGTGTTGGCCTATAAAAGGAGCTGCTGTGAAGTTACAGTGAATTCTGATAATTTCATATACAAGGAAGGAAAACTCACTTTCCTTTGTCTTGCTCCATTAACAATGCTCTTCACTTTGTTAATGACAGAAAAGCTAATCATATTAAATGTAAATTATATATAGGGGATTTTTTTTTAAAATATAGATTGAGTTAGCAGTATAACAAGTACATTTTAATTATTTATCTAATTAATGTTTCAGTTAAATTACCTGAAAAAAACTCCCTGCATTGAATTAAAAATTTAATTGTATCATTTGATAAATTAAATCAGATTTAAATAAAGAAACAAAATGTATAAATAAATAAAATCAAAACTTTAATGAAATCAAACATAAACTGTAAATAATTTACAGGCTAAAACAAGCTAAATAAAAAACAGTCTGTTTTTAAAAAATAAATATAATAAAAAAATTATCAGATTAATTACATTTTTAAATGAATAAGTTATCATCTAAAATGTAAATATTAAAAAAAAAACATCAAATAATAAATTAAATTAGATTTAAATAAATAATGAAATACAATTTAAAAATTCAATGGAATAAAACAAAAAATGTATCCTATTTGGATTAAATATTAATCAATTAAAAATTAAACCATAAATGAAATTAAGAACTAAAACTTAACACGTTACATTTTAAAAAGTAAAATAATGACAAATTGAATTGCTTTTATAATTATTGTGATACAATTAAATTTAAAAATAAATAAATATAAATTTAAATATTAATTAAAAATGAAAAATAAATAGTATTAAATAAATTAAGAATTGAATAAAAAAATCAAAAAGAAGTCAAATTCAAATTCAGTTACATTTTGAGTTAGTTTAAGAATTATATTTAATTAAAATACATAGAAAGAAATGTAATTTATTTTAATTAAATGTTTCACATGTATAAAACAAAGTAAAATATTGAGTTTCTAAGTCAGGAGCTTTTTTTTTAGGATGTTCAGGATGTCATTTTTTTCCTGAAACATATCTCAATTATTTATCATAACACATGCATGACGTGCATAAATTGCTGCTGACCTGCATGTCCTGCATGTCCAGATGGCCTCACAGTGTCACATTGAATCAACAGCCTGCAGTGACTCAGGTCAGACATCCTCCCACCCTGTGAGAAGCATATTCAAGCAATGATGATAATAATAATAATAATAATAACAATAATAATAATAATAATAACAATAATAATAATAATAATACATGTGTGGCACCACCACTGCACCACGTTCAGTCCTCAAGTAGATTGAATTAAATGTGAAATCCCAGCCATTAAATAATGAAAGCCAGTAAAGATAAATCTTTAAATAAGAGCTGAATAACAATGAGCCGGATGATCGGATCTTTTCTGCTAAATTATTCCGAGTCTTCAGCTCCTTCAGATGCAAATCCACAGCATGCATAAAATGTACCCAATAAAATCTCCTAATCAACCTTAAATTTTTTACTGGAAGCCGGAGCAGTTAGAGTGCTGCATTAGAGCAGCGGGACGTGGATTAACCTGCGTATTCATGCACCATAAACTGCATCCATTTTCTTATGTGTGATTCTGCAACTTTCCCTCCCATTAATATGTAATTTTTATTTGTCAGAGAACACTATTTATGTTAAATAAGCATATTAAATACATGCTTGCACCTCGTGTACAGGCACTTTTTGGATGCACTTTATTGGGTTTAGTCACTCTCCGACCAAAATATGTTCAGCAACCCTGTCACCAAATGTCAACAAATTAAATGTCAGCAAATATATTTTGCAAAGATCATAATTCTACATGGATTTCTGTTTTAAGCGTCATATTTAAAGGTCCAGTGTGTAGGATTTAGAGGGACATATTGGCAGAAATTAAACATAATAAGTATGTTTTCTTAAGTGTTTAAACACCTGAAAAATGATTATGATTTATTATCTTAGGATGATCTGTTTATATCTACACAGGGAGTGGGTCCTTGTTATGCACCTCCATGTTTCTACATTAGCCCGGAATGGACAAACCAAACACTGGCTCCAGATAGGGATATCACATGTTCACATTGGCCACTGTATTTAGCTCCTCCAGGATCCAAGAGCGGATATTTCAGCTCCTGGTGAAAACCTCCCGAACGACTGGATCTTAAAGGGGATAGATATAGGTTTCATACTTCCCGCTCTCGCTCCATTCTTCAATTCTGCAGGTTGCCACTTAAACAAATCATAATATTGACATATTATGGGCCCGTAAAAATTTCTAACACAATTATTTCTCTACTGTAATTATTTTTTTCAGGAAAATATAGAATTTAATTCTACACTTTTCTAGACGTTCTGTGGATGTATTATTTTTGAAAAAATATTCGTTTTGATGAAACAGCTATACATATGAAGTTAAAAAAGAAAAAAAGATGAGAGCGCACATTAGCAGGTGCACATCAAATACTGTATAATACGAACAGCTGATTTGTAATGTGTCATGTGTGTCACACACGTCACGTGACATCCTATATTGTGTAGTTAAAATAACGTTAACGTTGACTTTTGGTCTCACATAGGCCATGAGTAGAGGTCTCCTTGGTCAAAGTCGTGTGTTTGTTTGATCCCTCCATCTCTCTGCCTTTTTGCCTTCTGTCTTGATGAGCGCCCTTTTTGCAAGACATATTTTTGTCCATGTCTTTTAATAAGTTTATATTTTAGTTTTTAAAATTGGTCCATGGCATTAAATCCCAAAGAAAAGTGTGTTGTATGCCCAATAGTCTCTATATACAGACTCTACATTCAGTGAATGTAGAGTCTGTAGGCAAACCCCGGAGATCTTGCCTCTGGAAGAAGAGCTGAAGAGCCCTGGTTTCCTGTTGTAGGCTGTTTGTAGTCCGCGTGATATTGACCAATCACGTTTGAGCCGGCTGCAGTTGTTGCCAGGTTAAACGCTCCGTGCGGTGAACTAACGAGACGGAACATAATTGGCGTCACTGCAAACTCTGAATCCATTGCAATGGTTCAGCATTTTTACTTATTTATAAACGGAAGTCGGAAACGGAAATTCACCTCCTCCTCCCAAATCAAACTGGAATGCCAAAAAATCGGGGGTCTGCCCCCAGAGGCTGTATTCGCCGTCTGCCGGAAGTCAGACGCTGAATATAGCCGATGGGTTCCGAGAATGTATGCCCAACAACTGCATTTGAATTTAAACCGTGGTCAGTTAGCACGCCCTGCAGGAGTGCTGTGTTTACATGGCAACTCACGCGAGACTAGCTGATGGCTAGTGGTGGTGCTAGTTCTCGCTAACTGACCACGGTGAGAAATGATGCTATAAAAGTGGAGTAAATTACGTCTTTTCAAGTCAGTTTTGCATGCCGAGGCTTCAGGGCACTTGGATTACGACGGACGAGCCGTTCTGATGTTTTTGAAATGCATTAGCAGAGTTTTATTAGATTTTCAAAATGTGGGTTCCATGCACTTCAAGTGTATGGAAAAATCCGGCTAGCTGTTATCCTCCGATACCCCGAACGAGGTTTGTGGATTCAAAAGCTACACTGGACTTCTTGCTGGCATGAGGGTCAGTAAGTACTGTCTGTGTTTTCATTCTAAAGTGGTCATTTCCTTTAACCTTACCTTGTGTCAGCTGCACACAAATCAAGTGCCCTGCAGAGCAGCATCACGTCACCCCCCGATCTGCCTTCACGGACAGCCACAGTAATGACAGTGTCTACCTTCGACTCTGCCAGATTCTTGCTCACCAGCTGCCTAGTGCGAGCAAAGACAGATGCCGAACAAATAACTTTCCTACTCGCACGTGTCTTTTTCAACCAAAACTCAGCTTGAAATAATGTTCAATGTCTCCCACGTTGTGTCTGATAATTAAATTAAACTAAACTGACGTGCAGTTTGGGGCTGCACTGCATGAAGAGGAG